AAAAATTATAGGATTTTGTCTCACAAATTGTAACAGAGGACTTTTAGATAAGTGGAATAGAATTTTTCCTCTGTAATCAGATAATGCTACCTGCCAATCGATATTAGTTTGAAATAAAGTCTGAAATTGAAATTTGTTATAAGGAACAATTATATTGTGTACATTACATGTTTAAATAATTCAACACTTTTTTGTCTCCCCTAGGTTACAAGCAAAGCTACTAAATAGGGATAAGAAGCCAATTTTTTTGAGTTATAGGTAGATGGAGTCATTTTACTGGTTCTTTCTGCCACAGACACCCTGTGAGAGTATAGTGAGTGGCCAGAACAATTAAGTCTCAAGGCAGGCAAGCCTCGATCTGTTGGGCTCCGGCAACTATTCCGCCTCATCCTTAAGAGTAACCGGAATTACAGGCATGCGCTACCACGCTTGGTTGATTTTTTGATTTATTGTAGAGATGAGGTCTCGCTGCCCAGGCAGGTCTCGGACCCGCGGACTCAGGCAATCCATTCACCTCAGCCTCCCAAAGGTGCAGGATTACAGGCTGAGCCACTCAGCCCGGCTGCTAATCTATTCTAAAGAGCAAAAAATATCTTCAAACACGACAACCACCTTCCTTGGATTCCAGTGACTGGAAATCCCCCACTTCAATGTAATTGTATAGACAGCCTGTGGTGGTGTACCCCTGGGGAGCATGCACCCTTTCCCTGCCTTCCAACCCGAGAGCACAGACAGCCAAAAGGCTGTGAATAAAACATGTTGGGTTCCTCCAGTGCACTTTTCCATTTCCTGCATTTCAGAATATCCCATTACCACAACGATTTTGCAAATGTGATTTCCATTATTACCACATAATACAGCCAATATTATTGTTATTATGCAGCACTAAACATTGCTGAGTAAGATACGCCACTTTTAATATTTTAATATCCGCTTTCAACAATTACGCCACTCAAAATCATTCAAATGATTCAATCGAAATAATCAAGTGCCAGTCCTAATACAGTGAGGTTAAATCAAGTTTCTGGAGAAAAACAACTAAACGTTCACTCCCTGTAAATTCTGGAATGGGTGAAGACATTTTATTGGGTAGAAGGATCTACCAGAAGGCAGATGAAACAGCCTATTTGGTATCATTTCAAAGGTGTCAAAGGGGTCCTTCCAGCAACAAATATCTCCTTTTCTTTGTAACTTAAATATCTAATTGAAATAGCAATTGACTTTCAGAAAACTTTTTGTAGGAATGAGAATGTTCATTTTAACGGAATTAAGATGTTGATGCCGTTTGACAGCGTCTCATCACAAACACAAGTGTATCCCTGTGGTCCTCCGCCCAGAACTGCAGAAATTTGAGACAAGATGAGGAAGGAGGACAGATGTTCACATCGGTTTCCTAGAGCTGCCTTCACCAGGTACCACAGACTGGGTGGTCTAAGCGACAGAAATCTCTTGCTTCACACTTGTGAGGACTAGAATTCCCAGATCAAGAGGGCTGGTTCCTTCCTGGAGCTGGGAAGGAGAGCTGCCCCAGGTCTCTCGCCCGCTCCTGGTGACTTCCTGGCAGCTTCCTGGCCACCTTCAGCACTACTTGGCTTCTGTGTCACCTGACCTCTGCCTTCAATTTCACATGGTGTTCTCTCAATGTGTCTCTGTCTGTGTCCACATTTCACCTTTTATAAGGACATGTCATACTGAATTGGGGCCCACTCTATTCTAGTCTGAACTCATTTTAACTACCCTATTTCCAAATAAAGTCACATGCTATGGTGCTAAGGGTTAGGATTTCAACGTATTCATTTTCAGGGGACTCACTCAACCCCTAACAGTGTTCAATGTAGCTATTATAGTAAGGCTCCTGCAATGCATTCAGGGGTCAATGCCCAGGGTCACAGCTCAGAAAAGGTGTCCTGCTGCAGACACCCAAGGGCCATCAGCCCTTGGAGCCCTGACTATCAGATAAGCCAGCCCTGACAGCTCTGACCTTGCCAAGTGCCAGCCCCAGGGCAAATTAGCAAGGCACCAAGGCCAACTGAAAGTCCCATCATGAAGCCCTATACTGCAC